ACATCTTTTCCGGCGAGCCACTTACTTTCTTCATAAGGAACTACTTTGGCCTGAAAGCAATGAGGGCCGTTGACCAAGCAAATCTCAGCTGGAATAAAACCACAGTAGTTTCCTTTGACTTTGATTGCCACATCGAAACATTCAATAAAGCATGAGTTGTTGTCGTCGTAATCAAGGAAACCCCCCARGGCGTTTCCTACTGCCTTGAAAGTGGCTAGGCTCCATAAGTGTAGAGGAATGTTTCTCACCTTCACCCAACTACCATACGAAGGAAACAAAAAATCTCTACCATGGATTGTGGGATTCCATTCTTCAACTTTGACWGTTAAGGGGCCGAAAGTGACCCACCCTTTATTCGACAGAAGAAGACAAGCCATCTCTGTAGAGGGGCATTTAAGGAGGGCCTTGTCAGCTTGGAAGAGATTGATAATAAAAGAACTCTCTGTTTGTTCTTTAATGACATTCACAATACGGCTCCAATCGTCATGGAAATCCCTACGAGTGAGGATAACTGTCTCTTCCCAATTCAAAGGTCGGACTTCCATTCCTGCAGCCCCTTTTCTTTGTTGTTTCCTCCATTCAATTTCAGTTTTCAGCTTCAAAGATGCATCCCTCTCTTTCTGCTTCGTTTTCACTATGTCTGCAAAGGAAAGAGTTTCTCTACCAAAGAGCTTACTAGAAGAAGAAGAGGCAGACACTGGACTCACCTTAGCATAACTCACCTTAACTGTAGAAGAGGTGGCCATCTCATTTTTTCCATTCAAGAAATCGATGATCAAGGTACTGAAAAGCTTCCATCCTTTGCAATCTTCGTCCGAGGGGATGACTAAATTTCTTTTCCCTCCCGAGCTMTGAACCTTTGTCACTTCTAAAAACCTCCCTCTTTTGTTTGTCGTTTTCTGTATCCRGAGAAAACCACCATTGCAATTYGTCTTTCTGAAGAACTTCTGTGTTTGTGGAGCAAGGAGTAAGTCTTCCACACTGTCGGCTATCCAGRCCGCCGCTACCGCTTCCACTGTGATCTCAAAGAGTCTTCGACCATGTTTTTCAACAATTCTTACAAAGTTCCCATTCTTTTTCCTATCGTATTCACAAGAGAAAACCTTGTTCTCAATCCTTACCGAAGGCTTTCCCATCGAAAAGGCCATTAAAATGCAACATCTTCTGGCACGGCGGTGAGGGAGGAGAGAAGGGGGGGCTGGGGAAGAGGCATAGCAGAGAGAAAAAAATCGCAATCCTCAGATTCAATGAGGTGATTCTAATTAAAACTGAAGTGTAAGCTGTAAACATTCGTCCAATTTTTTCAGCATCTTCTATATATTGAGTTTCGAAATTCTAAAACTTTCTTGGAGCTCTTCCTTAAGGCAACCTAGACACGACATGGGAAGTTCTTCAAATTTACATCCCAAATAGCTTGGAATGCTCTCCAATCGAGGCTTACATCTCAAGGCTTACACTTGAGCTCTTTTAGAGGTACTTGGATCCTCCATCTCTCTCCCTCTATTTATAACAAAACCCCTAACAACTTTCCTTACTAATCACTAATATAGCCTACTATTCTATTAATCACCATAATTACCCCTAAAGACCATTCCTATCACATTGCTTGTAAACCTATGCTTCAGTCTCCCACTTTGTTAGATTTTTTAATGAGGTCTGCAAAAGAATTTAGAAGGTCATATACCTAGGGAAAATAAAGTAGGCCTTTGGTCTCTTTGAAGGTTAGCACAAATGGCAAAACTGCAAGCATGGTGTCTCAATCGCAGTTTAACAAGGCTCACAAAATGATTGTAGAGCACTCGCTCGCAAGCAAGTCTRCCAACTCAAAGTGCCACAACCAATGACACAACGGGTCTACTTCGCAACCACCACCCACTTCTTGAGAAAAACGATTTTAGAAGACGTGGTTGGAGAAAACATTTGAAAAAGTGTTTGAAAGCATTTTAGAAAGCATGTTATAGGCTTCTAAGCAAAAGAGAAACAACGAACTCAAGGTAAGGAGGATGGTCACTAGTGGTACCCGGTACCCTTGTAGTATATTATTAGGCATTTTGCCTGACATCGGGAAAATGAAAAGTGGCGAGGGTCATTCACCACCAGAAGTAAAAGGAAAAGAAACTAACTTAAAAGTACAAGAAAAAGATACTAAGACGCAAAATTAAATATGTAAGATGAAAACATGCGGGAAGAGGTTGTTATGACGTGCAGCCACGGATAACAGGCCCTGGACAAGCATGTTCATGAGTCTCAGCATGGTCATGAGTCTCATGACACTAGGCAACCCTAGAGGATGCTTATTTTGAGCTAATATTTTTACGGRGAGGAAAGCTCCTCATCTATATATGCGTTGCTCCTGCATGAGTATTCTTTGGAGGAAGTTTATGGCTGTTTTATGTCCTCTACTCTCTTTTCCAGATGGTATTCAGGCAAGAAAAAGGAGAAGCTGGACTCAATACCATTGAATTTAAATCTAACACATTGGAATCAACACTTTCTTTAACTTCTGCAGCAATATTCTTGTTGTGTCTTCTGGAAAGGGAGTGGGAGTCTGTTTGGGAACTCATAAGGTTTAATGTTTCTTTACGGGGTCTGTTTCAAAGTTATTTTGTAATTATCAGTTAGGTCATATTCTTTTGGATTGGAAGCCCTTTCTCTAGTCTAGCTTCCTTCTTCATGGCTATGTTTTTGTATGCCCTTGTGTTTATGTTTTGTTTTCATTTTYYYMAWKRAAARKTYSGKTTYYTWWWAAAAAAAAAAGTTCTTGTTGTGTCTTTCTCAGTGAGGAAAAAAATATATTCTTGGCCTAATTCTGGAGGTTATCATTGTTGGAAGTTTGGCTGGAGCATGACAAAAATTCCCTTGATATGGAGAGAGCTGTGGAGGGAATCTGAAAAAATATAGTTTCTGTTGCCTCCTCTTTGAGTTCCTTTGCCTTAAGATTTTTGGAACTACCACATTTCTTAATTCCAAGAGGAGAACTTTTATGAAGCTTCTTGTATTTGGAATTTGACCCTTTTTTTGGATAACAAACCACAATTTGATCCTTTTTGCAAATTTCRTCTTTATCAATGTAATAGTTTCATATTAAAAAAAAACTGCTTTCTAAGAAAATTTGTTAAGAGGCAAACTACAAAACCTTAAAATGACTTTTCATTTGTTTATCACATGTCAAAATACTGTGCTTCTCTTGTAGCAGGTTATTATGGAATTCATATTTTTCCTTAATCTAATTATTCTATCCATTCTTACTTTTGTCTTCTTTAGGTTGTTAGTGCTGGATATGGTTTGGATTACTCTGCAGCTGTTGATATTCTTAGAACCATAAGATCTGCAAATGGATTTACTGTTACAATTGTCTTAAAACCTTTTAGCTTTGAAGGCCAAAGGCGCCAAGATGAGGTAGTGAATGGCATGCAGCTTGTACTTGAAACGCCTTGTGATAACGAAAGCTTGTTTTTTTCATTTAAAAAAAAAAATAGCGCCTTGTGATATGTGATTTATAAAAGTCTTCTATTTTGCATATTTATTGAAGTTTCTGTATTTTATGAGCCATCAAAAGATATTATTTCTGAAGTTACTAACGATCAAATCAAATTCCAGGTTAAACATTTGGTAGGAAGTCTAAAGGAGCACACGAGCTTCTTAATTGGTGAGTTATGTCTAAATGAGATAACTTAAAAGACTTCAACTGTTTCAATATATTTATTTTTCTTCATGGAAATTGAAAAGGTGAGATGGTATTTTCTATCCTGCTTCAATCCACTGGGATCCTCSCATTGTTTTCCAGGACCCCGGATTGAATTTCCTTCTGGAAAGAGTGAACTTAAAGAAATAATAATTTCAATCAAGGAAGATCTGTGACCACTTAATACTTTCTTTTCGTGCACAGATATTGACACCAAAAGACTACTTGAGAAGGACTTGGTGACTCTTGACGAGGCTGTGAGATCTGCAAACAATGCTGTCTTGTTGGCTATAAATTCAATATCCATTATCAAGTCTGTAAGTTCACCTTCTCTGCCATATATTTAGAAAATTACAATTGCTTGCTTTTGACAACTGATGTGTTATATCTGGAACATATCAGGAGACGTTAATAAAGTTCATAAATGAACCTCAGAATGATCTGAAAGAGCTTGGTGCAAGAGAAGTCATTGGAGTAAGTTTCCTCAATTTATTTAGAGTTGGAAATTGGTTGCTTCTTGTGTCTCATTTGTTTCTTGGTTAGRTTCATAGTATATTTCTTAATACAGACTGTTTATGAAAAAATGAAAAGATCCAGGGAGAATACTTATCTTGTTCCTTTGCTTATATTCATCTTATATTTATAAGAAAAAAGTTTCTGGTATATGGGCATAGAAGATGTATTCCAGGCACTCCTCTTTGTAGTTGCATGGTCGAAAGGAAGATCTTGTTTGTGGAACCCGGCGAGAGTCAATATGTCTAAAGAAAATAAGAGTTTTCTTAGTGAAAGAGGGAGGAGCTAATCTTCTCTCGATTGCATGGTCTAGCCTCTTTAGAATGGGTAGAAAAGTGTTCTAGAGATATTTTAGTTGTTCCAGTAATCAATAGATTCTTTAGACAGACTCATTACRGCGAGAGGTGCATGGATAACTATGTCTTTTGGATTGAGAAAATAAAAAATAAAAGACGCATTTTAGCTGAAAGTTTTTAAGATCTGATAGTGATGGACAGACATACGTTATGGTTCCGAAAGAAAGGAGTCAGAGGGATGGAGAGATTTCTTGCTAGAAGGCTTCTTAACTTACAAATGTATGATTGGTGTCCATCACCAACAAATTGTTTACATTGGACATAAGTGTGGGGATTTCATTGAATGTTTTTTTTTTTCCTAACAAGATACAAAATTTTCATTGATTAACGAAAATGAACAAAATTGTTCAGAAATTTCATTGAATGTTGTCAGAAAACTTCTACCATGCTCAATCTCATGGAAGGAACATGAACGATAATTATACAAGTTTGTTTAATGATAGACCCCCGGTTACTAGAGTATACCAGCATAGGCACGTGAAGGGGAGAGAGACTATGTAAGGGGGGCCATTACACACTAAGTAGGTGAGCCCTTTGTTAGTTAGGAGAGGGCCGTAGGGGTTTATGAAGGAGAAGAGTAGGGGTAGAGGGGGATTATCTTTTTGCTGAATATTGTGTCTGTATTCTCTATGATAATTGGGAGAGGTAGATAATATCATGTCTTCTCTTTATCTCTCCGTTCTCTCTCCTCCCTTTCATCCATCCCCAGAACGATGTCTACGGTGATCTTCCTTCCGATCACCATTAATCTCCGACATGGCTCCACGGAGATTAACCACTAGGATAGAAAACAAATCCTTCTCTTGCTCTTTTGATYAGAGATATAAAGGAAGAGTGGTCCAGATTGAAGAATTTCATCTACAAAGAAAATTTACAGTTTCCTTGGAAGAAGTGGTTATAGTTTGGTTAACAGATGCTATATCAGACCTTCTTCTCTCACCTCAAAACCAGAAGTTTTTYCGGAAGAATCACTGTGCAAATGGTTTTGTTTGGATCCTAAAAACCACAAACAAACGAGGAAGCTTCATTGAGATAACCAAGGTACAAAACTCAGGAGGAAAGACAAACCTAGTTGTCCCGGYAGGGGAAGCTTTCAAAGGCTGGATTTCCTTCAAACAACTTTTGCTAGATTTCCTGAATGGGTTCGAATCAACGAGCCCTGCAAAACTCCCTAATAGGCCTTCATCGGAAAAATCATATGCTTCAGTTCTCTTATGCCCTTCTCCGATTCCAAGGAAGAAAACAGAAGTGCAGCCATTGTMTAAAGAGGTTAGATTCGTTGACTGGGACCAAGTCCTAGTTATAACCAGAAGGGACTTCCACGACGATTGGGGGCTCATACTCTCTACACTCGAAAGTCAACTCCAGAGAAAGTTAATTCTTAATGCCTTTCAACSAGATAAGGCCATCCTTAAATGCCCGAATGAAGAGCTAGCTAGGCTYCTCTGTATGAATAGAGGATGGGTAACATTTGGGGCTCTAACTCTTAAAGTGGAGAGATGGAACAAAGATAGACACGGATKCAGTACGACGGTCCCTTTCTACGGGGGTTGGTTGAAACTAAGGAACATTCCTTTGCATCTCTGGAGTGAGGACCTCTCTCGTAAGATAGGAGATATTTTTGGAGGGTTCATTGATTATGCAGATGAAAACGCGGCGAGAATAGAATGTATGGACGTAGCAATCAGGGTCAAGGGTAATTATTGTGGATTTATCCCAGCCAGAATCAAGATTCAAGATGAAGATATCTCCTTTTTAGYGCATGTATCGACCTTCGAGGATGTGAAATTACTGATCGGAAAAGAAGCCAAGGTCCACGACAGTTTTTCGCCGGAAGCTGCAACACGATTCCATGGAGGTTCGGTGGGAAACACAGGTCTCAGTCCAATGGACCGGTGGAGGACAGAGGATGGCTTCTTTTACCCAGTGGTCATAGCAAATCTCCCCTTTAAGAAAGACCCAACTGYCTTGAGACGCTCAACGACAGAGACTAGTGAAAAGACAGAAGGAAAGGAGGGYAGCTGTCAAACGGGTCCCACAGCTGAGCACAGAATTTCAGATCCTATTTTAGGAATTGAAGAGACCCATACGCAAAAKAAAAAAGAGCCTTTCACTAAAGGAGGGGTACTAAAAAAGAACAAGGGCTCAACCAYAGACTTCGGGCAACCTTCAAAAGAGGTTGCTTTTAGAAAAGAACAAAAAGGCTCTCCGATTTTCAAAAAAGGGGTTGTTTTTACAACAGAAGAGGAAAGACAGAAAATCAGAAAGAAGGAAGGAGAAAAGGAAATTGCAGAGAATGCTAAGAAGAAGGAAATTCAATTAGAAGTCTCATCAGATTCTTCTTGGTCTAGCGAAGAACTCCCACGGACAGAAGGGTTTTGAATACAGGGGATCCTTCTACAGTTTTTCCMGAGGGTTATCATAGTTGCTTTGATGTAAGTGCTGAAGATGAGACACAGACGGCTTGGGAAAAACAGGGAACAGAGATAGTACTAGCAGAGTCAGTTCCTTTAGATTGCCARCTACCAGAGACTAGGGAAGAAGACAAAACAGAGGAGGAAAAACACACTCCACAGAAGGCTTTCTCTTTTACCAAAGACATGGTTATGGAATTGTGGGCAAATAATTTGTGCATCAGACCAATCTCAAAAAAAGGAAAGGCAGGTGGGAAGACAAACCCTTCAGAAAGCAGAGAAGTTAGAAATTTGCTTGCAACTTGGGAAAATGAAGCAAAATTAGTAAAGCAGACTATAGAAGCGGGACCAACSGTTTCTAGATGAAGTTGATATCCTGGAATGTTAGAGGATTGGGCGCAGCCTCTAAATGTGCCCTGGTGAAGGATGTTATTCAGAATTCAAATCCAGACTTGGTTTGCCTTCAGGARACGAAGCAAAGTTCCTTAGACAGAAGCTTTGTTAGATCGCTTTGGAGCTCTAGACACGTCGGCTGGATTTCGTTAGATGCTCAAAACACAGCAGGGGGTATTCTAGTTTTATGGAATGAACAAAAGATCAATATCTCTAATTCTCTGTTGGGTACTTTCTCAATTACTTTACAATTTAGTCTTATTGATGGCAGGAACGGCTGGTTTAYAGGGGTKTATGGTCCCTCTTCTTCTTCAAGAGATAGAGTCGATTTTTGGAGGGAATTAGAAGKCTTAGGTAACAAATGCCAGGGTGCTTGGTGTGTAGGAGGTGATTTCAACGTGGCAAGATGRCTCTCAGATAAACAGAGCAAAAAACAAGGGCGAATCACTCGAAGTATGAAAGAGTTTAATGCTCTTATTGAAGCGATGAACTTATTAGATCYTCCTTTGGACAACGGCTCGTTCACTTGGTCAAATATGAGAGGCACCCCGACTCTATCAAGGTTAGATAGATTCCTTGTCTCTAAAGATTGGCTTGGGGTTTTTGCTAATCAAAGAGTTTCTAAACTGTCCCGCACAACTTCGGACCACTTCCCCATCCAGATGGCTTCTGAGGCTATTAAATGGGGTCCTACCCCCTTTCGTTTTGAGAATGTTTGGCTCGATTCTCCACAATTTCTTCCGATGGTAGATAAATGGTGGAAAGACAACACTCTCAGGGGATGGCCTGGTTACGGTTTTATGGAGAAACTTAAAGGTCTAAAGGGTGTTATCATTAAGTGGAACAAGGAGGTCTACGGCCTTATCCGTGTGCAGAAGGCGGATCTGATCAGAATTATCAGCGATATTGATAAGAAAGAAGAATTGCATGCCCYAACAGTAGAGGAGATTGATAGAAGGCAGCACCTGAAGGCACAGGTTACCGATTTGATCATCAATGAGCAGCGTTTGTGGTTGCAAAAAGGGAAAATTAGATGGCTTGAARAAGGGGATGAAAATTCCCACTTCTTTCATCATTGGACTTCACATAAGAAGAATCGTACCTTTATTGGGGATCTAGTGTCTGTCCAAGGATACTTGCTCACATCAGAGAAAGATATTGAGGTAGAAATTTTGAGTTATTTTGAGACCCTTTATACCACAACCACAGATACTTGTTATATGATAGATGATTTGATGTGGTCTCCTTTACAAGAAATTCATAGACAACAGCTAGAGGCCYCTTTTACAGTAGAAGAAATCCGAAAAGCTGTGGCAGATTTGGGGACTCTCAAATCACCGGGTTCAGACGGAATGAGCAACGAGTTCATGAAAAAGGCTTGGAACACTTTCAAGGGAGATTTAGAGATTGTGTTCCAAGATTTTTTTGAGAAGGGAATTATCAACAAAAGAACAAATGAGACCTACATCTGCCTTATTCCCAAAAAGACTCATCCAACTTCAGTTAAAGACTATAGACCCATTAGTTTGGTGACCTCCCTTTATAAAATCATAGCCAAAGTCCTTGCTAGTAGGCTTAAAAGCGTCCTTCCCCACATAATTCATGATTCACAGGCCRCTTTCGTGGAAGGTCGTCAGATTCTAGATGCCATTTTGGTAGCTTCAGAAACTGTAAGCTATTGGAAGAAAGAAAAAAAGAAGGGCTTCCTTTTAAAGCTGGATTTTGAGAAGGCTTATGATAAAGATGATTGGTCCTTCTTAGATGCTGCCCTCGAAGCTAAAGGTTTTGGCCTTAAATGGCGGGGTTGGATTCAAGGATGCCTTTCTTCTGCCAACTTCTCTATCATGATCAATGGAAARCCAAAAGGGAAGATTTTGGCTAAGAGAGGGCTAAGACAAGGTGACCCCCTCTCTCCTTTCCTCTTTACCATTGTGGGAGATGCTCTAAGTCGCCTAATTCACTTTTGCAATGAGAGGAAGATCTTAAGAGGTTTCCCTATAGKCACAAATACTATTGAAGTAACTCATCTTCAATATGCAGATGATGTCCTGATTTTCAGCCCCTTTTCTAGGAAGAATATGGAAAGATGGTGGGGCATCATTCAAATTTTCCTCCAGATGTCGGGCCTTTCTTTGAATATCGCTAAATCGGCTGTCATAGGGGTGAATTGCAGTGCTGCAGAAGTTAATTTCTGGGCAAACGCATGGGGTTGCAAGACAGAGACCTTCCCTTTCACTTATTTRRGGTTCCCTCTTGGAGGCAACCATCGGAAGTACARTTTTTGGGAAAAAGTGGTGGAAAAAATGCACAAAAGGCTGGAGAAATGGAAGCCCATGCTGCTGTCCAAAGGGGGTCRRCTTACTTTGGCGCAGGCGGTTCTGAATAGTATTCCAACTTATTTCTTCTCCATCCTTAAAGCTCCAAAGGCTGTGATAGATGCTATGGAAAAGCTTACGAGGGATTTTCTATGGAACKGAGGGAATTATAGGCCGATTGGGAATCTAGTCAAATGGTCYTGGACTGYGCTSCCTTTTYAACAGGGAGGAATGGGAGTTGGGTYGCTAGCACACAAAAACACTGCCCTCTTGATGAAATGGGTGTGGCGCTTTGCGAATGAAAAGAACAATCTTTGGAGGAAGGTCAYTGCTGCCATTTATGAGGAAGAGCCTTTTGGATGGTGGTCCAMGCCCTCCAAAAATTCTTCAATAGGCAGACCTTGGATTGATGTTCAAAGAACAACTCCAATTTTCAGCMGATTTATTATGTACAAAGTTTMTTYGRGGATTTCAGTTAGATTTTGGGAAGATRATTGGACAGACTCTCTCCCTCTTTCGGTTACTTTCCCAGATTTCTATRCTATTTCAACTAAGAGGAATTTTTCTATAGCAAATTGTTGGAACACAGAGGCCTTGACATGGGACCTCGGCTTAAGGAGGAACCTATTTGACAGAGAACTTGATAGATGGGCAATGTTCATCGGGAAAATTGAAGGGCTGGTCTTAGGATCTGAGAACGATTCTTTGTGCTGGACTGCTGATAACAAAKGAGTCTTTACAGTGAAATCGGCCTTTATGGCTCTTACCTCCCCCTCTCCGAAGCTAAATGCAGCCACTGCATCTTTAATCTGGAATTTCAGGGTACCAAAAAAAGTTAAAGTTTTCCTCTGGACTCTCTTCTATAGGGGCACAAACACAACTGAAAAAGTTCAAAGGAAACTATCTCAGTGGACCCTCTCTCCCTCAGTGTGTGGAATGTGTCTCAAGAACACAGAAACGGTGGATCATCTCTTTTTACATTGTCCCTTTGCTGCAAAAGCTTGGAACTACCTGACATCTTATCTAGACYTGGCCCTCTGCTTACCAAGGAAAATAGATGATTTTATAGAAGAAGGCTTTGGAGGATCCTTGTTAAAAGGAAAATCTTTCATCCTGAGGAGTTGTGGCGCGAGAGCTCTTCTTTGGCTGCTTTAGAAGGAACGGAACAACAGAATTTTTGCAGAGAAACAGAGCTCTATTGAAGATTTTTGTGTGAATATTAGGCATACAGCTTCTTGGTGGGCTTCTATCCACAAGAAGGCTTTTTGTAACTACGGTTTTCTTTTGACTTTTCAGAGTTGGAATTCCTTGATTGTATAGTTTCTTAGCTTCTTGAGGGAGGGTCTTCTCGACCGTTTGACCCTAGGTTGTATGCCTCTTTTCGGTCTCCTTTTTTCTTTTGGAATGAATCTTTGTTTATTATAAAAAAAAAAGATAATTGGGAGAGGCAGGGAGCTCTCTAATCTCCCTTGGTTGTGTTGATAAATAAAATTGAGGCTTAGCCTATCATTTAGCTTCCAATTTTGTTATTGAATGACTTCCTAGTCTACAATAGTTGCGTTGTCCAGATTGAATAGAAAATGTTCTTTATTGAAGTTGACAAAAACTTCTAGAGGTATAGATCTAGGATTTTTAAAATGGCAAAGGTAACTTCTTTTGTTTGCAGTGGTCTTTTGTGGTTTGGCTTTCTCTTTCTGAATCCTTTAAGGCCATCTTTACATCAAGGGAATGGGAATGAAGGAATAAGAATCAATTTTTTCATTCCCTTTAACGGTGTTTACCAAATTGTAGGGATGAGAATCAAATGGTGGGACCCACACAATTTTTTCATTATCATTCTCTAGGAAGGGGAAATCTCATTCCTCTCCTACACCCCATCAGTTCCATTCCCATTCCTTATTCCGTGGGYCCCACACATTTACTGCATTTACTTTTTTACTTTTACCCTTTCTCTTTCATATATTAATCAGACCTATATTTTTTTTAATTATTTGTTTTATATTTTTATTATTTCTATTTCATTTATATTACTAAAAATTTTTATTCAAATAAAAATTTATACCGWTTTTATTAGTTGATATGATTTTATATAAAATATTATAAATTTACATATAATTTTTTAGTTTTACTCTGTTATTATTAATTAATATGAATAGATATTTTGAAAATATAATTCATTATTATTAAATATTATATTAATAAAATTTAATAAAATTTTATATTAAATGATGATGGTTCTAATAAAAAAGTATTTTAGTTGATGTCATTTTATTTTAATTATTCATTATTTATTAATATTAAATAAATTTTTATAATAAAAAATATTTACCATCGATAATATAGTAACAAAATAAATTAAAATTTATTATTATTATAACTAAAAAAAGGTTAAAAAACACTTTTAATTCCTGTACTTTCGTTAAAGTAACAATTTAGTCCCTAAATTTAGATTGTAACGATAACGATTTAGTCCATGTACTTTCAAATTGGTAACAATTTAGTCCTTGAACTTTTATATGTAACAATTTAGTCCTTGTAATTTAAAGTTGGAAACAATTTAGTCATTATCGTAAAATTTTTTTGTTAAGCTTCTTGTATGTATAGATTGATAAACTAAAGAGGTACCAAATATGTTTATGAATTAGAAAGATTAAGTTGTTATATGATAAAATTTGACACTTAATTTTAATAAAATTTTTTACGATAGGGACTAGATTGTTACAAATTTTAAACTACAGGGCTAAATTGTTAGAAGTTAAAGTTCAGAGACTAAATTGTTACTTTAGGGATAGTTTAGGGACTAAATCGTTACAAACTGAAATTCAGGTACTAAATTGTTACTTTAGTAAAAGTACAACGACCAAAATGTGTTTTTTAACCTTAGAAAAATATTAGCACAACAATATATTTGTAATTAGCTAGAAAGAAGAAAGGAGTATACTAGTAATTGTTATATATCTAATTCCGATTGACCTGATTCCGATTGATTTTCATTCCGATTCATGCCAATTCCAATTTCTGGTAAGTTAACAATGCCTAAGTTCCTTTTTGTTACTTCCTCATAATCACTTTTGAAACTTCCTCATAACCAGAGGTCTTTCAAGGATTCTTAGAATTCACAACTAGGTTTAATGCCTCTCTTTGAGTGGCTGATACAGTGTTGCTAAAAAGTTCTGTGACAACTCTTTACTTTTCTGTAAACTCTAGTTTCCGATTCTTTTGTAGATTCCTATAATGGGCTTTTCTTCTTTCATTATCTGTTTGTTTCCTTCACCTTAACAAAAGTTTGGTTTCCATTTAAAAAAAAGGTAATATTTCTTTTTGATGGATTGAATGTGGAAATACATAAGTAATTCTGGGAGCCTTTCGGGTCCCATATTTTTATTTTCCCAATAGGTCTTTTGCCTGTAGAATCCAATCCTCTAATTTTGATGAAATTAATTTTTACCGTGTTAAATAAGTTCTCTGCAAATTATTTTTGGTTGTATGTAAATTACCATGTCCAATTATTATTTCCTTTTGTTTTATTAGTTCAATAGCTGCACTCTTTTCCTTATTAAGGTTATTGCAGCAATATTCAGATTTTGGAAAACCTTAAAGAAGGAAAGATTGGATTTGGAGCTGGTCACAACTTTCGAACTTCAATCTTAAAGTCAATTTACGACTGCCCTTTCCTCAATGTGCATTTAAAGGTACTGGAAGCTTGCAAGCGGATATTACAAACTACACAAAAGGAAAATCACGGTCATCTGAATGTTACTCCTTTTTTCTTTCAATTATAAGTTTCRAATCTTTGTTATTTAGTAGATTGGATCTCCACGCTTATCTGTATAGTATCAAATCCATTAGGTGTATAGCTCAAATTACACTATTATGTATCTGTATACATTGACTTTCTAAAATTATAAAACTCAAAATATAGAATTTAATCAATTATAAACACAAAGGTTGCAGTGCGTTACATGTTTTCCTAGAACTATTTTTCCCCTCAATGTATGTACTACACTCTTATCAGTGTATGTATGCCGGTAGCTTATTGGATCCAAAATCCGTAGTTACCAAATATCATAGACTTTTGTGGTGTCTTCAGTTGAAACCCAATGAATATATGAGTAAGGTCAAGGAACTTTTAGGTACAAAAAAGTGAGAGAATATGCATACTTGTGTTTATATTCTTAATATGTTTAAAAGTCTCATATTTTCTGTTTTCCAAATCAACATTTCATAATAGAATTATTTTTTTCAAGTATTGCTTCATCGTCACTAGTATTCTTAAAAAAAAAAAATCATTACTAGTATTTTTAAACATTTCATGCTTCTGAAAGCATTTGTATGCCATAATAAATCCTTTTCTCCATGGGTGYTCTCTTACCATTGTTCATTCATATCGTTGTTCAATTTTGCTAGGAGTTGAAAGGTGTAGTTTTATGCATCGTGGCAAGCTCGGGTATTCTTGATGACAACGATAAAAGTACCTTGTTGAGAACTTTCCGTGAAGTCACTGCATATACTGGGAAAGTTATATTATATGTAATTCAAGACCYAAATCTGGAACCAAACTTTTTCATGACAACTGTTCTTATTGTTGGGTAATATTTTTTTTTTTCAAGTTGTTTTAAATCTCTAATCACTTGTCAGAAGTTGTCAAATCTTTGAATTGGTGATTTCATATATAATGATTGTACATTATTAAGACAGTTGAACTGTAATGTTCTGGTCAGCCCTCTATTACTTGTGAAAGAGCTTAAATCATCGTCTAGTGATAAAATTGCATGAAATTATTGATTAAACTCTTCGAAGAAGTTCTAAAAGATGGATAAATTGGTCGCGTATTGGACGTGAGTCTATTATCTTCTTAGAACAAGTGACCAGATCGCTAAAGTAAGAAGGAAGAGTTTACTACTCGTCTTTCTCTAAAGTTGAATTCTCTAGTTTTTCTCTAGAGGGTTATATTGTTGAGGGAAGTTAGGTTGATCAATCTTCGGATTTGGAGGTTGGAAGATGCCTTTCCTTCCTTTTCCCAGAAAACAGACATAAGGTCAGGAAGTTGTTAAGTTCAACTTTGGGAGTCCAATTCCTATAGCAAAGAAAAAAAGGAGAAGATTACAGTCTCACTCGGAAAAAAATAAGGGAGGCCAATCAAGGGAAAAGTTTACCTTTCAAGCGGGTATGGCATAATGTCTCAGGGAAAACGATTTCTACTTCACGCCAATAGGCAACAAGGTCTAAAGGAATCATAAATCAAGCCAAGAACACTGGAAGGGATTTAAATAACTCATAAACTTAAGTTTAATAATTAATTATGAAAATTGTTCTAGATAGTGTACTGAAGGTCTCATTTTACATGGAAGTCTTTATTTGATACGCATATGGTGAAGAGCCTCATTGCTAATAATAGCCTAGATGTGGTCATCCTCACGAAAATTAAGATCAAGTGGATTGATTGGTTATTGATCATGTTTGTTTGAAGTTCTAGAGATTTGCTTGGACATCCCTTAATACCTCGTGTTCTTCAGGTACCACTCTTGTTCTCTAAGATGATCTTTATATATRCTGTAGAGGTGGTAGAAGGTTGTTTCACCCTATTTATTAATACAGATGTAGTTGGGTTCTGGTGGCTATTGAAAAGGAGGTTATTGCCTCTTTCTCGCAATTGTATGCCAAGTTTGATTCAGTTAAGTGGCTCCCCCTGAACTTAAATTGAACTACCAGTTAGCTTGATTTTGAGTGCTTGGCTTGAGTGATCATTTTAGGAAAGTTAGATTAGATGATCCGACAAATGATTTGAGCTACTCTAGTTCATTCTTGRACTTTCTTTCATAGGTTCTGTCACCTTGCGCTTTGCTTGATAATATAGCCATAGTGATAGTACATCTTTACTAATCCGTTAGTACACAAGGATCTTATACATAATTAACTGACTCGACGAAATTTTGATCTAAAAATTTTAGTACATTCCAATTTTGTTTATAAACCTTTTTTTAGTGTTAAATTGATTGTCTGACGACAATTTTAAATTATTGTTAAACTACAATTTATTTGTAGTTGAATCATTTCTCGGTATTCTTGCTCCATTGTTGACATCACCCGTTTAAAGGCACCATATTGCATGTTGATTTATAATTTTTTTTTTCTTTTTGCAAAAATTACATAATTGCAACTACAATGGGAAGAAGACTGAATTAAAACCTAATCTATTGTTTATGGATCATAATTTAGTGTAACTGTCAAATGAATTTCAGTTCAACAGAGCAGCAATCTTCCAAAAGAAGTAGCATTTTGTCTAGATTGGCCCAGCGTTTTCCTTTGGTTTTTAAGCTTTTATGGAAACCTCAAGAGCCATTGGAGGAAGCTGAAGAAAGTGATATGCTTGAAAATGCAAATCCTTCCGATGTAAGAGAGTCATTAGGCCCTGATGCAGCCATAACTAAAATTGCTTCAGTGGGAGTGGATGAAGGTTTTTATTATGGCACAGAACCTGAAAATCTCCAGACAACATTCAACTGCAGTGATGAATTATACAGTTCAAGGTATGATTCAAATATTATCTGTCTCAGCTTCTAAGTCTCCTCTTCATTTGCTTGGTTGTATCTGACATTTATTACATTGTTGGGAACTAATGACAGTGATTTTGAGCAACCTGAGGCTGGACTGTTAGAAACTGATGTGAATTCTTTGCCTTTTAGCAATACAATTAGTAGAGGTTGGCATTACGAAATTTCTTGTTTATTTCTAGATTTAGCTTTCTAAAATCTCGCTTTATGCACTGATAGATTCTCATGGTAACTCCTAGTCCTAGGATAGGACACTGAACATTTGTCTAGAGCAATGCTTATATTACTCATAACTATCTGAATTTAAATGCATTTTCTAGGAAATTCTTTCCGCAGAGACCCACTAAACAGATGGAATTTGGGTCCGGGACATCAGATTGCACAGCAGTGGGCCAGAGAAAGAGCTGCTGATGCTGAATTGGCTTCTGCACTTGATAATATAAGCATATTTGACCTGCCAGTTGGGGTGAGACCTTCAGAAGAGCAAAAAGATAAAGCCACTCCAAATCCGGACATGAAATATGAGAAGAAATCTAAAGCTTCAATTGCTACTTCTAGATTTTCTTCTCGGAATTCATTGACTGATGCAAGTTTAGAAGTGATTAAGGAATTTTATGATACCTCATCTACATTTTTAAAAGGGAAATCTGCTGACGTTCCGAAGAAGCAAGGACTTTTATCTGTTCGTGCAGCATCGATGCTGGTGATGTGTTTCTTAAAAAAATTTCACTTGTCATTCATATTTTGAATTAATTGACATCTAAGGCATCCAAAACGATATATGCAACTATGCAAGTGTTGTTTTATGTGTACTCCTTTTGTTTTACTCTTTTAACAGCTATTAACTGATATTGAAGGCCAAATCATGCTTGATTCTGCAAATTCCTTCATATTTCCTCCCATAGATTTTTTGCTTCACACTGACCATGCTTTTATGGGTCAATATTGACCAACAAGAGGTAGGATGGAAGCTGAAAGACTTGCGTGCTTAGCTGGAATCTCACCTTTGAATTATCTAGGCTTATCCTTGGGAGGAAATCCCAGTAAGTTGGTTTTTTGGAGTCCGGTCATTAATAGAGTTAAAAGTTACTGTGATTAGACAAATAGAAAAATGTTGTTCTCTCTAGAGGAAGATTAATGTTGTTTTGTCTGCTCTCGCTACTTTTTTCCTATTACTTCTGCAAATCAAATAGAAGGTTGCTCATCTGTAGGAGAAAAAGATGAAAGTTGATTGCTAGAACTTTGAGTGTGGCCTAGCTTATAGCTTCTCAATTTTACTAGATCTGTGTCAGATAGAAAGATTGATGATTACGATAGGAAGACTGATGATGATTTTCAATCTTTACTAACAGGATGATGAACAGTACTTGGAGTCTACTGGCTTTTCTCCCTAGCTTTCTTAGGCTTCATCTCGCGAACAGGACTAATATGCTCAATACCTATTTGTCGAGAGCCATTTAGAGAAGAAAAAAATAATAATAATAAGGCCATACCGATAAGTTTAACTTTTTTYCCTTCAGAATCTTTCTTTGGAGGGCATAAACGCAACGGGTATCCAGAAAAGAATTCCCCTCTGCTACAGTTCATTTAACTGCTGCTTATCTCTGTCTTAGAKGGTCAAAATCTCAAAGCCATCTATTCTTGCATGTTCTCGTACCAATATTTATAATGGTGTTTTTTAGATACTTACGGTGCCCAGTGGTGCACTCCCCACCACATCCTCGAAGGCTGGACTCAACTTCTGCTTGTTCTTAATTTCAAATAAAAAGGGAAGGTATTATGTATTTGTGTTATTAAAAGTTCTCATTGGAGAACTTGGATCAACAGAAACAATAGGATTGTTCAAATCTTTGTTGAGAAGTTATGCAGACGTGGAAAGTCTGTCGTTTAGGACTTCCTTTTGGAGTTTTACTTGATAAATTCTTTTGTAATTATAATTCTTTTTGTGTTTACGCCAATTAGAGGAATTTTTTATAACCTAATTGGTTTGGATGAGTTGAAATCATGTTTTACCCTTTTTATGCAATTGATTCGAGTACAATCAATTGACACAGTTACTTGCAACTTGCATGCAATTGATCCGCACGTAGTCCATACAAATTCAAGAATTTATTCCAACTTCCTTCCTATAATAAATTAGCAGATCTATATGATTTTAAAAGTTCTTAGCTAATAGAAGTTTGTTATTACCAAAGCTTGCCCATTCTTATATTTTCTGAATCTAAAGATTTGAATAATTGTGGTCACATTTCATTCAGGAAGCCGAGCGAGATTCCCCAAAAAAGTGGAATCCTGTTATGGAGTTGCAGTACAGAGGCGGTGTTTACAGGGGACGTTGCCAAGGAGGTCTTCCAGAAGGGAAGGTATTGTCCCTAACATAGAAGACAAGGGCAAAATCAATTTTTTGTACCCATCTTTATGGAAAGTACTGAATGCTACTTTTGACACTAYCTACAGGGCCGTCTAGTTCTTCAAGATGGGAGCATATATGATGGTATGTGGCGCTATGGTATGAGATCAGGTCAAGGTACAGTCTACTTCAACAATGGAGATATGTTTCAGGGATCATGGAGGGATGATGTTATGAATGGAAAGGTTTGTGCTTTTCTTTTTGCTTGTTTCAATCCAAGTGACCATCTCTATCATGAAAAAGCTTTCTTGTGCAAAATATAGAAATATGCATTAAGCTCTTAGAAAGTAGTTTTTTGGTCAGACTGGTTGGTGAAAGTAATTTCTTCTTTAATGGTATAATAATTATATGGAGAAGTTACACCTTAAAAATGATTCACTTTAGCTCCTGAACTTAACTACAAAAATTTAAGAAACTATTCTAAGCTGGCTCGTTTGAAATATTGTTCCATTAGCGACACACTAACACACTAACGAAATTCTAACCAAAACATTTCAAGTGATGATGTGATAGATGAGAGAGATAAGCTAATTATTTTTGTGATATATTTTTTAATCCACTGTGGAAATTTCCTCTTACTATTTTGCTTAATAGTAGAAGTTAAACAAATAAAATTAATGTAAATAACGGTTAGAAAATCCACATAAAGCAAAATGACATCATCATGTAACATGTTCAACCCCTATTGACCGACATAAATATAACAATAATTCCATTCCACGAACCAATTTGAATCTTTTTCTTTAATAGAGACGAAAATGTATTTCCCTAATCTTTTACCCAAAATGTTTATTTTCCTTAATTATTGCAGTATTTGAATTATTCTTTCAGAGAAAAAGTTCTAGGACTCGCATCATACTTTTTCTTTTATGAGGTGAACTCTCTATTATTCTTAAATGTTGTTGACGTGACTAATAATGAATGAGAGTAGTATCTGTATTGTATCGAAAATTTTACTGTCTCCAAGCAGTGATTGAACTGACAAAATTCCCATGGTTGTCAGGGCTGGTTTTATTTTCATACAGGGGACCGTTGGTTTGCAAACTTCTGGAAGGGAAAGGCTTATGGAGAAGGTCGCTTCTACTCAAAGTCAGGTGACGTCATATTCGGACATTTCCAAGATGGATGGCGTCATGGTGACTTTCTTTGCATAAACGTTGACGGTTCAAGGTTGGTGCTTGCTATTCACTATTCRGTGCCTATACAATATATTTACTGACTGCTATTTTTTTCTTTTTAATCCTTTTTCACATTTTCAATGTTTCCAGATATATAGAAGTTTGGAATGAAGGGTATCTTCTGGGGCGTGAGAAGTTGGACTCAGGTCCTGATTCTGCGTAAAKAATAAGATCTCGTCTCAGTTTTGTGATCGTTGTGAGGTGTTTCACAAATTGTGATTGTATATTCTGTAGATTCTGTATTAATTAAACCTTAATAGAGTTGTATGTAGGATTTCTTTGGCACAATCGTACACATGATGAATTATGTGTACACTGTTGCAATTTAACTTGATAAATTTAAGCAGTTTTTTCAGGCTTCTGAGAATGAGATTTGAGGAGAATCTTGTAGCTTGTTTCATTTCCAATTTATATGAGTGTTGGTTATCTGTGGTTATAAGCTTCAATTGGAAGGTAAACAAACACTTATGATCATCAACGTAATGGAGGATCATGTTTTAGTTGTAACAGATTTGTACATAGAAATTTACTTATCCAATTACAGTTGAATGTAAATTTACCTTATATTTTGAATTTTTGAAACGCTCAACAGTTTTGCCTAAGCCTCTTGGACCAAATTTTCTAGCCAGCAAGCTACCTAATGTYGGTTAGGCTGTATTCTTCAGGCTTCCATGATTTGGCAATGTACAGTCACTTGAACCATGGCATCRAAATTTATCGGGTATAAATTTACATGAACTGGCAGATAAAGAGAATACAGGCACAACACTGGGATATGCTTTCTTTAACATTCACCTTGGTGTAAGTTGCAATGTAGAGATGTCTTTAGAGGCCCACAGCACTCGACTTGGTTGCAATGCAAACATGATGGCTCAAAATGCATCACTCTGCGTTTGGTATGAATAGTCGATTATTTGCTTGGAGATTGTCATCACGGATATCAGATGCTGGAACAATAAGAGGAATAAAAAAAATCAAATATAGAAATTGAAGGTTGAAATACATATTTACTCTTTATAATTTGAGCTTGATTTCAATTTGGAACCTAAGATTTGAGGTTTCTATCATTTYAAGTTTTAAAAGTTTCAATTTGGTCCCTATAATTTAGTCAATTTTCACAAATCATCCCTACCCTTGGCACGTTTTCTATTTACATGGTAATAATATACATAATATACACTAGAATTTAAGGTGGGCAAAAATAAGGAAAAATAAATGAGTTTTTGAGGGGTAAAAACAATTTAAGGACAATTTGTGAAGTTTGACTAGATTGTATGAACCAAATTAAATCTTTTAAAACTAAAAAATTCAAATCATAGTACCCAAATGAGACTTTTAAATGCATAAGCACCATATTGAAACCAAACCCAGGACCTAGGAGTACTGAAGCATATCAAATTAAGAGATAGCAATGGTGCCTTACCTGCAGTTCTGTGGAACTCTCCAGGACAAAATTGATGAACTCTTCACATATGGCGGCAGCGACATGAATTGTTTCCAATCCTCAATCATAATTCTAAGATCATGAAGCTTACTGTTCATTCCAATACAGCAGTTTGCGTGCATGGTTATTACAAGATTCAAATCTTTGCTGGGTTCACAGAACCCACCAAAATAAGCAGTATCCAAGAATCTGAACTTTAGTCCGATGTCATCGATGAGAGGATCATATTTGATCTTATTAAGAACATCCTGATCGTGGTATCCCGGATAAGTTTCCCTAGATGAGTACCAGTACTTGTAAAACTCAATTGACCGATTATTGGACTTCACAAAGGCAAACCCTCCATTCGGTCTGTTATCTAAATCTTCAGGGATGCCCAGGTAATGATCACAAGCAATCTGGAAATCTGCATCCATATCAAAGATTGGGAATGGATCCCTGAACCACATAACATCAGCATCCTGGAGGAAGAAATAAGAGTGAGGGAATTAAAGAATTACAGAAAGAATAAATCGTAAAATTATTATCTTGATCTAGACGAGCATGCGAATTGCCATTATCCAACATGCATGGAAGTAAAAATTGATATATCCTGAAGAAAGTAAGTGGTAAACAGCCAACTAGCTGATTTCGAACAACTAAAGTTTGTCCATTGCTTTTGACCACTCGGCCACTCTCCCCTTCCCGGGCCGAGGCCTTTCTCTCACTCAATAGATGTATCTAGTCTGATACAGCTTAGTAAAGCAATACGAGACRATGAAATGCAATGGGATGGATGGTAGGCATGAGAAAGCAAGAAGTTATGTTTCTTTCTCCGATCTTCTAGTTCCCAAACTCTGCCTTCCATAAAGTTGCATAAGGCATGTCCTGCTACTGTAGTTTGATGTTTGACCCTTGGGATGGAAGGTAAGTGAAAAAAATGGTGGGGCCCCTGTGGTTTTCAAATATGGGAGTTACTGCTGATAGTGGAGGAGAAAGCAATCCAAGTGGGCAATCAATTGGCCATGACCTTAATTCCTAATTCTCAAATTAATCTACGGAGCATAGGTGACATTTGATTGATAAAGGAATCTTTCCTTCTCCAAAAAAACTTCCTCTGAACCACCCAAGCAAGTTCCAAGACAAAGACAACCAAGTGGCCACTGGAGTGACGAAAAGACTTAAGATGCCCTGATACATGTAGGATTACTCAAATTTATATCAACTGGAAAGACACCTTTATTTATACATGTCTGCAACACATGTTATAGAAATACAGTATTGACATCTTCAACTTCCTAACAGGTAATCKTAGTCTTGTCACTTCCTTCATTTCCGATATCATAGATTGCCCCAGAAACTCTCGAGCACAAGAAGATTTAATGTGTTCTACTGTACAACTATATTTCAAAAGTGGTGACTCTACCACATTCTAGTCATGTCATATCATATCTGTTAATAGTAATAAAATTCCAGAAAAATCCCTACACAAGGAAAACTCTAAAAACTCATTGAACATACCAATGGTTGTACCACTACCACCCATTATCTACTTTACTATATCCATGCCCTCCCCCATAAAAAGACAACAGAAATTCCGTGGGTGGGTGTTTAAAGATCAGGGAAACTATTTTATCAAAAGATTTAAGAAAAAAAAAAGAAAAAGATGAGAGAAGCTTAAGATCAGCACGCTGTTTACTTATTCTTTCTGAGCATTAAATTAGTACTCTCAAACCTTTCTAATGTCTCTGCAATCTAAATCTTTTATCAACAAATGCAATAGTATCTACGAAAATGAATGTTTTCATGTCATCTCAATCAGGGAAGTAATTAAGTCAATGTGCATTTTCCTGGTAGCAAATGAATTACTTAGGAATGTTATAACTTATCTCAACCTTAAACAGTAATTAAAAAAAAAAAATTATTGATGCCAATTAAAACTGAGGAAGCAACTATCTCAAGGTGAAAGGAGAGAGTGAGATACCGTGAAAACAAAATTGTACCCCATCTCAAGAACAGTTCGCAGAAAATCAATCCTTCTCCACATCATCTTCAAGTAGTCAGGTGTCATAAAATATGCCTCTAAATGAAAATCAACTCCTTCGGTAACAAGAGCAAAGCAATGAATATGAACAGCCAAGCAGCGAATAAATGCYTTTTTGTCCAATGCAATAATAACCAAATGGTTTAATAGTTGCCGAGTATGATTTCCAATTCTGAAGCTTTCAAGAAAGAGATCAATGACTGAACTTGGAGATGCCCATGCTTCATTTAAAGTAGTTAAAATAATAGTTCTGTCTTCTGTTGCAGCATCTTTTAAGACCCTTTCCAGTCCATACTCATCAGCTTCCTAYAACCAGCCGAAAGAGGCAAAAACAAAGAGAAGTAACAGTCTAAATTAGATCATAAAAGAAAAGTTCAATCCGAAGAAGTTCAAACCTCAAGAATGAGAGTTTAAAATCAAGCTGTAATTAAATAAGACAAGTTAAACGTAAAAGCAAATCTTGCTACATTCCAATACGTTGTGCATATCAGCCACACCATGCTCTATATGTTTGTTATGCTGGCAGGTAAAACTCATCTTTGAAAACACCAGTAAGCGTAATAAATAAATAAATAAGATAATTTAAATGTCAAAATGACACTCATGACGAGGTATGGAAAGTTTCCTTATTCGCGTTTATTACATCCCTCATCATCAAGACCTATTAATTGAAGTCCAGTTTCACTCACCATCAACGAAATTCAAACGAACGAGAAGCGAAAACTTGCATATGGAAACAAGAACTAAAGAACASAAACTAATGCTAAAACGACCAATTAGATAATTACTAAAACATGGCGGGAAGGTAAAAAAAGGTAACCGCATAAACTCACCGAAGAAGGCTCGTCGACGTCGCCGAGGGAGGATGCGAAGTAGGGTGAAGAAAGAGGTGGAGTATCGGAGAAAGTAGAGAAGGAGAAGAGATGGAGGTAGGGGAGAGAGTGGGATTCTCTGAGAAGAACAAGGCAAGAG